AATTTCATGCTCGTTTGTTGAATAACTATTTGCATGTGGCTTACTGGGGTTGGAAAATTGTGCCAGGACACCGAAAAACAAAAAGTACCACCTTTGCTTAATTAACTATAATAGGTCATTTTAACTCAAAGCCACCAATTTAGGTACCAAGCAACAAGCGCTACATTTTCAGCAGTAGCTTACGAGATTATCACGAGTAATTTGGTGTAAAGCTTGATAACGTAACCTATGGAAAAACACAAAGCGCTCTTGATGGACTTACAATAATTATGTTTTATGCGCGTAAATCAAAGTTACAATGAATCAAATTATATTCAAAGTTTTATATCAAGAAAAAATAATGTGCCCTTTCAAATTCACAAATCTCATTGGTTGAAAAGAACCACTTTTGTTTCTATCAAGTTAGGGCCGATCACTTCAACGATGACATTTCAAGGCCGTTGCCCTTATGAAAGGATAACCGAAAAAATAAAAAAAAATTGTGAAAGGATTAGTGAAAAAAATAAAAAAAGGGGAGAGAAAAAGAATATTTTTCATAAATAAAGTATATGATGACGATCGATTCAAAACTTTTCTTTTCAGCTTTTAATCAAAAAATAATTAATTGAACCTTCTGGTATATAATTATCAATGTTTGTTATTATGTTCCCTACACAGGTACATGGAAAAAAAAAAACTAGACGAAAATATGCAAACAAGCAAAGCTGACGAGCAAAAAAAAGGACTTGCAAATTATCCACTGTTTGAGGTTTCCGCAAAAAAAACTTTCGAAGGTTTTCCCACGACACAATGGCTTGCAGCAAGGAGTCGACACAAATACCAGCTATGTGCAGCAGGATGCGGCCAAGCCTGGTAACACTTTTCTATAGATTTATTACTTCATTTGCTTCCATGATTACTTTGGATGTGTAGATTGTCCCCATCATGCAACTCCCCAAAATCTTAGCCTTGTTTGTGGGCTCGAAAGAGAAAAATGTCTGTGGGCTTTGCTTCACACCTTCCAGCGTGTGATGAACGACCATCTCACACGGTTTGAAGAGCACTTGTGACGACCATCTAGGCTACCTCCACGACCTTATGACAACTTGTATGTTTACAGACAAATATCCATAAACACGATTGCGATGAAACAGTCAAAACTCTCTCTCTCTCTGTCGCGCGCGCGCGAGCGTGAGTGCGTGTGTGTATGCATGACCTTAGTGAGCTTGGGAAATGCAAAGCAACTCTCATGTCACTGGAGACAAGAGAAACATGAGATGCGCTTCCTAGCCTACCTCTTTCTCTGGTGTCGATCGAGGAGCGTTAGCGGAATTTCCTAGTTTCGAAATCGGATATTATATTATGAAAGCTTTATACGCAAGATATATGGTTGGAGGGAGGAGGTTGGGCATAAGTAGGAAGGGGGATGGAAGGAGGATGGGTGGAGCAAGCAGGTTGGGAGAATGGGGGGAATGGTCAGGAAAAGCTCGCACAGAGTAAGGAGTGAGGAGGGACAATGGAGGAGGTAACGGGGAAGGAGGAGGAGGGAGGGAGGGAGGGCGGAGGGACGAGTGCAGGTGCAAGGAGGAAAGAAAGAAGGCGGGTGCAAGGAGGAGGTGGGATGGAGGTGGTATGAAGGTTAGGTGGAGAGAGGAAGAAGGGAGGACAAAGGGAGTAAGAGGGAGGAGGATATCAAGCTAGAGGTCCATCTACGTCCAGGAGATAGGACGATGTAAAGATCAAGCAGTGCAAGGGAGCGAAGAGGGAGGGTGGGTGGAGTGAGAAGTTCATGCGAAAATCGGCCGTAGGGAGGAGGAGGGAAGGACGAGGTTGGGCAAAGGGAGGTAGAAAGGAGGAAGGAATATGTACGGGAGGAACGAGGGAGGTCAGGTGGAGGGAGGGAGGATGTCGTGCAGATGCCAGGCAAAGGGAAGGAGAGAGGAGGTCAGGTGGAAGTCCGGCCGAAGGAGGGAGGAATGGAGGGAGAGACGTCAGAGGGTGAAGGTAGGCCAGGAGTTGGAGGAAGGGGAAATGCCACACAATACCGAGGATAGAGCAGGAGGAGGGAGATGGAGAAGTATGACTGGGGTGGCCATCTCTCTCTGTGCGGAAGGAGAAAAATGATGGGACAAAAGTTGACCCGGAGGCGGTCAGGCAGGAGGAGGAAATCCGATCGAAAATCCGGTTGAGTTCCAGCGGAGAGAGGAAGGAGGTCGAGCATAGCTTGGGGGAGGAAGCAGCAGGAAGAGAGATGAGGAAAAATGGTCAGGTATGAATGTGAGGAGAAAAACGATTAGGTGTTGATGGAAGGAGAAGGGGAAGGAAGTGCGAAAAAAAAGTGGAGGGGAGGAGAAGAGACTTGGAGACACTGTTCAGAACGGGAAGGAAGTGCGAAGTGGAGGGGAGGAGAAGAGACCTGGAGACATTGTCGTGTTAGTTCGTGTGGCAACGGCAGAGCCACATCCGTCACAGGCAACATCAAGGGCATGGGCAGCACAGGATTGTGGCGAGCTTTAAGTGACTTTGGTCGAGTTGGCCTATTGCGCCTGCACGGCCGGTAGTGCCCCATGGACACTTGGCACGGACGAAAACATTCATATCGGCTTGAAATATCGGCTGTTCGCGAAAATGAACAGTGCAGATGGGACTCGTTCAAGTTAGACAAAATTCTGATCGGCTGTTTATCCAGGCCGACCGTTCGCGCGAACAACTTAGATCGCCGCTCCGTCAGAATTTTTTCTCATGGACCAGGGATCTGCACTGTCCACGATTCTGATCAGCCTGCAATCCAGGCCATTTCAACCACCACCATGTTATCTCGTATTTGTTCCACTGAACATTGTAAAACATTCGCACGTAGATGAGTCCTGAAGCTTTGAAAACATATATGCAAATTTCCCTAAGCTTCACCCTTTTTTTTTTTTTCCCTTTTTTTCAGTCGCCAAATTTGGTGTTTTGGTATTCCTAGTTGTTACAAACACAAAGGGTCCAATGGACAAAATTGAAAATTGTTCAATCTGAGTGTAATTTCTTTCTTGTTGCTTTTTTTTTTCTTATTATTTATCCGCAACATCCCATTTAGTAACCCCCATAAAAAGAGAGAAGGACAGACCAAAGGTGACCACAAAATGCCTTCTCACTGAAAACTGCAAGGACTCGTGCCAATAAGATTGCACGAAGTTCTGCGACTTGAACAGGATAAATTTTTCGTTTTTTACCTCTTGTATTCGGAGTTGTTTCGATCAATCACTTATATACTGGAAATGCCTTGGAAGTTGAATAACAATCTGTGCCTGTTTGTTGGAGCACACACAACACTATGAGATGGGCTGAGAATGGTAATGCTTAGGATAGGTGTGCGTGATCATGAGAGAATCGTGTTGGTGAGGACATGTGCACCTGATCTTGACAATGATGCAAAAAAAGTGAAGGAAGTGGTGGTGATGGTATTGGTGACAACACAACAGGTATGTGAATGATGGTGATGCTGCCCAAGGTGACCATAGACATGTACATGTACGTGTGCACATGACATGCCGGAAGCGCGATGAACAGCGACAATGGCAATTGACAGATTACAGTGGGTGTCGCTGACCACGGGATCGCGTGTTGATCTTCCTCTGCTCCCCCTCCTCCTCTTCCTCCTCCTCTTGCTACACGGTAGCGATGGTGACGATCGCCATGGTCAATGACCATGGCGACGATCAGCGATTGTGACGATCGCCATGGTGAACGACAATGGTCATGATCGCCATGGTGAACAAACAATGGTGATGATCGTCATGGTGAACGGCAATGGTGACGATCGCCATGGTGAATGGCAATCATGTCAAGAATATCATTGCCTCTCTCTTACTCCTCAAGTGGAGGATCATAATAGTCCCTATAGTGATAGTAGTGATGGGGACTGTGATGGTAACAATAGTGATGGTAACAATAGTAACAATAGTGATGGTAACAATAGTAACAATAGTGATGGTAACAATAGTAACAATAGTGATGGTAACAATAACGATGGTAACAATAGTAACGATAGTGATGGTAACAATAGTAACAATAGTGATGGTAACAATAACGATGGTAACAATAGTGATGGTAACAATAGTAACAATAGTGATGGTAACAATAGTGATGGTAACAATAGTAACAATAGTAACAATAGTGATGGTAACAATAGTGATGAGAATAAAGATTGGGATAATGATGATCAGGATGACAATAAGATTGGGATGATGATGATGATGACGATGACGATGCTCACTATTCACTGGATCTTATGACGAGACAATGTACGATGGTGGTGGGGGCGACATTGGTGGCGGCACCAATGTCGAGGATGGTGATGTGGGGTGGTGAGAAATTGAAAATGACCGAGATGGTAACAAGGATAGCAATGATGGTGACGGTGATGGAGATTTTTGGGATGCCAACGGTGACGAGTGGCGGTGCTACTTCTCCCCCTCTCCTTCCCTCCCTGTTCGTTTTCCTCCCCCAGTTTGAATGCCGAGTCCACCCTCTCCCTCCTCTTCGTTCTCAGTGTCCTCTTTCACCTCTTCTCTTTGCCTCTTCGCTGTGTCTTCTCCCCACACCGCCGTGGCTTTCCCCCTCATTTGCTAAGTTTTGCTTTCATCCTTCTTCTCCTTCTCTCCCGCCTCGACACCATTCGCATTTCCGTGTCTCTGATTCCCTTTCTCTTCCACTGCCTCCTTCACTCCTTTCGTCTTCTGCCTGCAGTGCGGTGGACTTCTCGTTGCCCCACCATCTTTCCCTTCCGTCTGCAGCGCAGTGGACTTCTCGTTGCTCCCCTTCCCATCCGGCTGCGGCCACCGCCAGCTCCCCCACAGCGACAGGAGGGAATCCCGACGCTGCGGACGGTGATGGTGGCAACAGCGATGCTGATGGCGATTATGATGATGCTAACATGGTGGCCAGGACGATGCCGATGGCAGTGATGATAAGCTGATACCCATGACGGCGATGTTATGAATTCTACTTCTCACTGGAAGTGTGACATATGCAGGCGTTCTTGCTGTGATTTGTTCGGCCAGTGCTAACATGCCTGCTTTTTTTGGCTGCAGCCATCAACCGTGGCGGGCCTCCACTTGTAGACATAATAGTAAGATGCACACAGACGCACTCCTGCATCACATTCGCTCATTGGCAGAACATGCCAATCAAAACGTCAAACGACCACTATACCAAACAATATCAAAATCACGGGCGCCATGTTATTCACATTGGAGGGTGCCTCTTACAGAAGACATATAGGTTATATATTTAAATTCGAATACAATGAATATGTTCAGGCAAATCAAAGGGCACTTCATATAGAAGGCAAAAGGATAATATTCGATAATCCACAGCAGATAGTTCTCTATACTATAGTACTTGTTTGCACACTCTCATCCTCTTTCCGACACACTTGTACTTATTTGCACCTACCCAATCCCCTACCCGACACACTTGTTAGGTGACTCTCATCCCCTTTCCAACACAGTTGCTTTCACACTGCGATCCTGGCATCCCCTACCCAATCCCCTACCCGATCCCCTACCCGATCCCCTACCCGACACAGTTGTTCGGTGACTCTCTTCCCCTTTCTGACACAGTTGTTTGCATACTGTGATCCTGGGATGCCCTACCGGATCCCCTACCCGACCCCCAACCCGACCCCCTACCCGATCCCCTACCCGACCCCCAACCCGACCCCCTACCCGATCCCCTACCCGACCCCCTACCCGACACACTTGTTCGGTGACCTAGCGAGAGATGCCTGGAGCAGAACGAAAACCACACCATCTACTCAAGGAATGCGAGAGTCCAAACACTGTTAAAGCTTGACTGATCCCTGATCTCTGGCATTTTACTCGAATACCAAAACAGAAAGCCGAGCATCGACTAGTGAACCGGAGAGCCCTTGAACACCATCAAAAGTTGCACTGCCTTGACCGCACTTTTTTTTTTCCCTTTCCCCATCACATCCTTCGGGGGGTGATACGCGACCACATGGTATAGATTCCATGTCATTTCACCTAAAAGCAAACTTGAGAGCGTCAACTACGACTATCACAATTGTTTTCCATTGATCTCCCCCTCTTTACATACATCCCACCGTTGCGTCGGATATAGATTCCACTCTCACTGTCTCTTGCTATACTGCCGTTTCACCTAAAGCCTCGGAATACAACACACACAGCGTCCACAACCACTCTCCACACTTTGTTTTCCATTAATCTTCCCCTATGTGTAATACTCATTTGCGATGGAGTCGGAGCTTTACTTCTCACAGGTCAACTACATCACGAGATGAGGCAGTGGAAACAAAAAAAGCCACCAAATACCGAAAAGATGGCAGGCCATTAATAGTCCAACTGTTGAGTCAGATAGATATACATACTGCAATCCGTCCCTGTCCAGGTGCCATCACCACATACCGCGATTGTCCTTTTCCCGATTCACCGAGGACAGATACATCCCCGGGACTCGTTCTCCGCCGAGCCCATATCAAGGAGCTTGTAGAACGACTCTCAATGCCGACAGGCAAAACCAACCCGTTTCTGTCCAGGCCTTTCCCACTCACTGCCCATGCTCCTTTCTGTGCCTATGTCGCCCAGACACTGTCATCGGATACCACATTTATCCTCTTCCTGGTTCTCTGAAATCCCCGAAGTCCCTTCCCTCTCGACTTTCCCCTCTGTCCTCTCCTCAAGGGTAACGGCCTTGAGATATCGTCATTGGGCTGACCCCCCCCCCCCATTTGCATTACCCTAGTTTCGTCACCTCGGTTTGAAACTTGGGTCTGTATTTCAACAGCTCATGGGTGTGCCAACTAAGCTAGGCTGGTTGGTGACTGCCCTGTGTCACTTAGCATGATGAAACACAGAAAGCCGAGCATCGACTTCGAAAATCAGAAAGCCGAGCATCGACTTCGAAACCAGACCGACTAACACTTCCCAAGATACAGTAGAGGTGAGAGTTTCCTCGACACAACCGTCGATAGTCGTCACGGTTGGAAGTTGCACTGCCTTGACCGCACTGTCATTTCACCTATAAGACGCCAGGACATACTGCAGAGAGCATCGACTACCACTCTCAGCGGTGTTTTTTTTGGCCATTGATCTCCCCCCCTCCTCACGTCACACCGCAAATACCCTACAAAGCGTCAACAACCAGTCTCCGGTCTGCCCACGACCACTCCTTTCTGCGTCTATTATGTCTATGCCCACAAGACACTGTCGGCACATGCCAGCATTCTCCTCTTCCTGATTCTCTGAAATCCCTCAGGTCCTTCCCTCTCCCCTTCCTCTCCCCTGAAAAAAATGAGAAATTTCCACAGTTCTCGATCAGAAGAGGTAATTTTTGGATCCCGCTTCATGTCAGATCCTACTGCTGCAAGGAGAGAAATCTGGCTAGCATAGTACTGAGCCCACCACATACACACGCATGTTCTTCTCTTGTTTATTCAGGTTACAATCTCCTTAGAAGTTAAAACTTAACAGCCTCACTTCCAAGTTTAACACCACCTCAACCGGTGTAGGGTCTCATCATTGCGCTGACATAATGATATAGAAAAAAGAGAGGTGTTCATCACGCGTTTGTCACCAAGCGATTCCAGGCTCTACATCCGCCAGACACTGTCACCACATTCTACAATTGTCCTCTTCCTTGTTCTCTTAAATCCCTCCCTCAGGTCCCCTTGCTCCCCTCTTCCTTTCCCCCAAAAGGAGGAATTTCCACGGTTGCCAATCGGGTATGACAATTTTCGATCCCAATTCCTATCCACTTCCGCCGGACGAATTGCGACCCGATTCCTATCCACTTCCGCCGGACGAATTGCGAGAGAATCTTCTTGAGTTTACTGATCTTAAATCACCAGTACACCACACATCGGCCCACGGGCGTCAGCACAAAACCTGCACACCACTTCGGAGGCCGCCAATTTTTTTTTTTTTTCAACGGCGCCGCACACCGCGCGGCCATTCCGAGTTTTGCTTGTGGCGACAAAACGTTTCTGCAAGGCTGGGGCCGTGTACTTGTGGTTTCAGAGCCTTAAGGCTTAAACTCTTTAAAGCCGTGAAAAAAACTGCAAAGCTTAACACCACTTCACCGGTGCCGGGTCTCATCATCACACACATACATAATCGCATAGAAAAGAGAGATGTTAATCTCATGTTTCCAAGCAAGCGATTCCAGTCTGAGATTAGAATAGAATGCTTTGCTCCTCCGACTGCCAGAAAGACAAAGGACAGAAGGACAGAGGAAGATGAAATCTATCGATTGTGCAGCAGGATTGCAAGACACACATCTTGGCACACACTCTCTCCGCAAGGATGCAGCCATGGACAAATCCTGGTGACTAACCATGGACTAACCAAGGACTAAAGCCCTGGCTGCCAGTCTGGGGTCTGTGACTGACCACAGACACGCAGCTATAGACAACTCCTGGTTGCTGATCTGGGGCCTGTGACTATCCACAGACAAGAAGCTATGGACAAATCCTGGTTGCTGATCTGGGGCCTGTGACTAACCACAGACAGCAGCTATGGACAAATCCTGGTGACTATTCAATAGTATTCATGGACAACTCCTGGTTGCTGATCTGGGGCCTGTGACTATCCCCAGACGAGAAGCTATAGACAACTAATCCTGGTGACTAACCATGGACTAACCATGGACTAAAGCCCTGGTTGCTGATCTGGGGCCTGTGACTAACACCACAAACAAACCCTGGTTGCTGATCTTGCCTGCATCAGCAGGTCAGTCCGCGACTTACCTTCAAGTGGATAATAGTGACCTCCCTTCCTCCACACTCGATGATGTTTGACTTAGCTTCAAGTGGATAATAGTGACTTCCATTCTCCACACTCGACGATGTGTAAAACAGTCAGACGGGCAATTTCCGACAAACCACGGTTTGAAACTCAGACTTACACTTTCGATTAGTGTTCTTTTGAATTTTTCCATCATCTTCCCTAGGAGAGGGAGGGGAGATGGAGGAGCTGTCGACGACAGGACAACCCTCTTGCTGGCCCATTTTTCTGCTTCCGCAGCAGATATGGTCTCTCACCTGAGAGAGTATTCTTTCTCCGGTGCTCCTCGAGCAAATGGTTAAGGACGCACCTCCGTGAACTCTGCAAGGCTTCGCTGTCGGTCTGTGTCCAGCAGGTGTGCTCAGTAGCAGAAAACACGCGTGAAAATATGACGCTGTGGTCCTCTGTCCCCAGTACTGAGGGAGGGGGAGGAGGGAGGTGGTATCGGGCGCAAACCACGCGCAAATCCCTGCGGCGCAGCGGACGTTTTCATGCACTTGCTTGCATTGTCAGATCGTATCTGCATTTTTGGACTCTGTGACTGTCCATGTGCAGACTTCAGAGCTCAATTTCCTCTAACTGTAGTTGGCTGAGCATATCTTTTCCCACATATGGTACAAGGTATGTCGAGACCCATCGAGCCCCCGCGACTGCTATTGCAAATTGATTGATTGATCGACTGATCCACTGATTACGTTGATCGACGACCACATCGCAGCAGCCTCCATTCTCTGATGACAGGTGAAGAAAGCAGAGCCGCTTTTCAGCGAAGCTGACGGGAAAGACACTTGTGCAGGACGGCATCGGAGGCCAGGCCAGCCATTGTTCAACCTTCCAACCAGTAGGGCAAATAGATTCCATGGCGCCTCCTGCTCATGACACCGTAGTCGTCATCGCAATTCGCGTCAATGTTATCCCACCGGAGAAGCGTGCCATCCCATGAGACAGATGCCAACAAGGGCTGGGTTGGGTGCCAGCTACAGTCTCTGACCTCTGCTGTATGTCCCCTCAGCGTCTTGGCGACTTTACCAGTAATCTGTGCACACATGCCGTCCACATACATTCAGGTCACCAAAAGTGAACCCCTCAACCGCTGCAATACAGACCAGGTGCTGAGTTCGAACTCCACTGGAAGCAGATGAGTGAATTTACAACAGTAATTCTGAATTACCTAGGGACGGAGAGTTCCATGATGACATCTCAAGGCAATCGCCCGTCTTAAAAAAGGAGGAAAGGAAGAAAGGAAGGAAGAAAAGAAAAAGAAAAGAAAGCGCATGGCTCCACAATAATGCAGAATGTCATATAGAACTATGTCTGGTCCAGTCTGGATTAATATATCCTATAAGTTGAATTTAATATTTTATTAATTTCACACTAAATTAGCAGGCAAGAGAGGATGTAGAGAACCACCATCAGATAGCAATAGACCATACGTGCAAGCACACGTCGTAGCGCATGTGATCGCGGATGGGACCCGCACACACGACCTGCACAATCTGTGTGGTGTACGACTGCGTAGGCCCCCCCACAGCCCCCCCCAAAAAAACAAACAAACAAAAAAAAAAGCCGGTGGGGGTTGAATTGACGTAACCCCCGCCACCAACAAAAATGCGCTGGGGCCCAGAGAACGTTTTGGCAGGCCGTGATCAAGTACGGCCCACAAAGTTCTTGCAAATTCAAAATGTGCAGGTAGGTAGGGCTGGGCCGCTGGCGTGTGTGGTGTTGTATAGCAGCTGGCCATCGACGTCCTCCACACTGCCCGCTCCGCTTGCTCGCCGCTGGAGCCGCACGGCACGAGAAGCCCCATTGGCGCACCGCAGGAGGAGCCCCATCACCAGCCTCGGGTAAGTATCACCGGATGACCAACCTCGTTTGTCCACCCTCCACCTCACCTCCTCCTCCTACTCTCCCCTCCCCTCTCTCTCCTTCTCCTTATCCTCCCCCATCCCTCCATTCTCTCTCCTCCCCTGCCTCCTCCTCCTCCTCCTCCTCAACCTCCTCTCTTGTCCAGTTATTTAAGTCGTAGAGATAGCAATGGCTGGAAATCGCGGAGTTTCAAATTCTTTTTCGCATTCATTGTTTCATTGCCTAGCATCTCGTTGGGCGTGCCGTCACCATTGTGTCGTCTTTCTGGACTCCTCCCCTCCATCTCTCCTCCTCCTCTTCCCTTGTCTCCTCTATCTCTCCTCCTCTTCCTCCTCTTCTCT